GGAGGGAGGAGATATGGACCAGCTCTTTCTCTCCCTTTTCCTCTGGGTACTACTGATTAAGACCAGACTGGATTTGTCTAGTGATGGCCAAGGCCACTACAGAGAATTTCTAGGGAAGGGCATGTGACTGTGATCTAAGCAGACCTCAGCTCTCGAAGGGACTGCATTCCCTGCAGTTGAAGAGACTCAGTGGGCTGTGGTTGATACGTGTCAGAGGTTTCTGCAAGGTGGTATAGGTCTAGCTTGTCATGGCCTTGGGGTTGGCCTACTTTGCTAGTACAGAACATGTGCAGGTGTTTGTGAGCTACATGCACACACTAGAGGCCTGCATGGAGCTGTTTTCAATCCTGCCCAAGAAGATAAGTTTTGGTGGAGAGACTACTAGAAACAAGGGTTGGAAGAAGTAAAGGAGGAAAACTTAATGCCTTTACCACAGGGCTCTGGTTCAACATTCAAATGGGGTTTCATTGAACTCATGAAAGCACCTAGAGCGATCACCAGCTTAATACAATCAACTGTCAGGGCTACACACACACACACACATATGCGTGCATGCGCAGAAATCTCTGTGAACTGCTGGTGTAAGAGAAGTGATGGGGGCCACCCTGGTGGCGCAAGGGGTTAAAGCACAGCACTGTGAAGCTATCCACAGCCACTGCAGGAGTTGTTCAGTCCCCAGCCAGGGTGCAGACCCACGTGGTGTGGCAGACCTCTCCTGACCCGCCCATTGCTCCCCTCAGAAGTGAACTTCAGTTGACCCACCTATTCTGTTACCCACTGTCTCTGGTGACTCCTCTCCCCACCCTCGCCTCTGGCTTTTACCCAAGTTCTTGTGTGCATAAATCAATCTTTGTTAAAAAATAAAGATGTGATGCTTCCCCAAATGGCGCACTGTTTTGAGGGGAGTTTTGTTCCTATTTGGGCTGGACTCTTTCACTCACCAGTGGAGAGACATAGTTTTCATTAAAAAAAAAAATGAGCTTAGGGGCACACCCTGGTGGCGCAGCAGCGGGTTAAAGCACAGCACTAAGAAGCTTAAGCCACTTCTGCATGAGTTCGATCCCCACCTGCCCCGGAGGAGATCCACATGGCATGGCAGACCTCTCCTGACCCGCCTGCTGCTCCCCTCAGCAGTGTACTTCATTGATCTGCCTGTTCTGCTCCTCACTCTATCTCTGGTGAATCCTCTCACCCACCGCATCTCTGGCTTATACCCCAGTTCTGTATGAGTAAATAAATAAATCTTAAAAAAAAAAGAGCTTTGTAGAATGTATAATCATACAAAAGTGGATAGTTGGGGGTTACCTGAGTTCTCATCTTTAGCACAAAGAGGGAATCCTCTTAGCTAGTAGCTTACAAGAGGCAGTGAGAGACCACACATGCATGTAGCAGCATTGGTCACAGAACTAAAAATTGTTTAACAGTTAGGGAAGTTGTTCAACAACTATTTGCTGTACAATTTGAACATAATTTGATATATTAATAATTAATTTGATATATTATTAATTTGATAACATAATTTGATATATCCAACATAATTATATACAGAATATCACAAATTCCCATGAACTCAACTAAAGAACTAGAAATGTGTAATTGCTTTTGACAGGAATTATCTCATCCTCAATCCTATCCCCCTCAAGAGGTACCCACTCCTCTCCCTCTTTCCTTCTATCAACTCATCTATCTACCAATCCATGCACTGCCATCTAGCTAGTTGGCTGATCTTATGACCATGTCCCTAAACAATGCTGACTTCGACTTTTAAAAACCTATAAAGATGGTATCATATAATGTATTTTGTCATGTGCTTTTTTCTACTCAACATTGTTTCTAAGACTCATTCAGCTTAATCTGCATGTCATGAACATCCTGACTGAAACTCCATTGTGTGAACATAACACCTCTGATTTCTCTCAAGGGACATCTGTGTTTTCCTTCTTTGCTATTATGATTTCTTGGGAGCCTTCCTGGGTTGGTTACTGGCATGTACTTTTATTCTGTGCGTACTTAGAAATGGTGGGTAAAGATGAATGTCAGTCCTCCAACAAACATTCATTACATTTGATCTATGTTCTTGCCAACACTTGGAAGGTCAGATATAAATACGTTTACCAGTCCTGTGAGGACAAAAAGTTAACTTTTGTTCTGCTAATAATGTATACTTCCCTATTTAATAATAAAGCTAGGAAATTTTCATATTTTTAAATGTCAGTTGTGTTTGTTATGTGAAATTGTCCATTTTTTATAGATTATCTTCTCAATACATATGGCTCCTAGGAGTACATTGTTTTGCATAAAAATTCTTTTTTAAAAAAGATTAATTTTAGTTATCTGTGCATATAAAAACTGGGCTGTACATCAGAGGTGTGGGGGTTGATTCACCAGAGACAGAGTGGGGAACAGAACATGCAGATCCACTGAAATACACTGCTGAGGGGAGCAGTAGGCGAGAGGAGAGGTCTACTGTCCCATGTGGGTCATCTCTCTGGCCAGGGATTGAACTTGTGCTGCAGTGACTAGAGATAGTGCTGAGATTTAACCCCAATGCAACCAGGGAGTTGCCATAAAAATTTTTGCAACCAGTCTGGCAAACTGTTTTGCCAATGTAACCAGTATCGCCATAAAAATTCTTATGGCTATATATGCTGTAATGAGCTCCACTTTTGTTCCTTGTATTCTGAAATTATGAAAACAACTGGTTACTTTTATTAGATGATATATGTATTGATCAGTTTCATTCTGGTTTGTTCTTTACACATTTTTCCCTCAGCAAAGTCCTTACATATACTCTTGTGTATTTTAAAAGTTTTAATGTTTTGTCTTTCACATTTAAGTCTACCTTTTAAATTTTTGTACCTATCAAAATTATGTCTTAAAGAGTTAAAGAGTTGTTTGGATTTGTGATGTGAAGGAGTAGCCACCATACATTCGTTTACATTGTCCTGTAAACGAATTTTACCATTTTACTTGCCCAATGTCTCCCTCGGAGCTGTTCAGTTTGGGCTTGTTGTGGACCAGTCTCCAGGAAGAGACCTTTGCAAGATTCCCATTCCACAGCCCCCATGTAGTGGGCCAGCACAGATGGCCTTCTTTATTTAGCTGTTACACAGCACCACACACAAACAAATCCCACCCTAGACTTAGGCACAAACATGCTTGAAACCATGGTTATGTTCCTCCATACCCTACAGCACATTGAAGGCCAGCTGAGCTCTTGGAACACAGTCCAAACTCCTCAATCTGGACCACAGGCCCTGTGTGGCCAGGGTTCTGCCACCCTCATCATCCTCCCTCACCACAGACAATTGCCATCTGTCCTGAAAGCCTTGTCTTTGGCCTGCCTCAGGGACTGCTCTCCTCCGATCTCTCGACCTGAAACCCTGCCCCTCACGCTGCCCAGCTCAGGCTGCCTCCTCTCTGGTCTCTGCTGCACACACCCCCAGAGGCTCCCACTACTCACTGGAGCACAGGTGCTTACATGGTGCCGGCCCCAAACAGCACATAAATGACACACACACAAGCTAGATTCTGATGCTACTTGCCTCAAAGAGCTATGAGAAAACAGAGCTAGGGCCTGAGATGGTCTGAGAGGACCTGGGAAAGGATTCAAGGACATTTCTGGAAGCTGCCCCTTCGCTAGCACATATCAACTCCAGGAGAAGCATCACCCTGTCTGTTTTGTCTGTACTTGTCTTATTAC